GGTGAGCAGGGAAAGACAGATTAATTATTTATTCTAGTCTGTTCCCCCTGTTACAAGGAGGAACAAACAGCAGACACACAATTTGGAGGCACCTCCATGTCATATTCTGACAAAAACCCTGGAAATTTCTGGCTTGTTCTAACAGCTAAACCAGGAATCAAGTCTGGAGGAATTTCTGTGTACCTCCAATTTAATTCTCAAAGAGAGAGAGAGAGAGAGAGAGAGAGAGAGAGAGAGAGAGAGAGAGAGAGAGAGAGAGAGAGAGAGAGAGAAGGGCTAAGCCTAGTGAAAAGAGAAACACAGCCATGTAGATAGGTCGGGGGGGTCTAGAAGAAGCCCTTTGCCGCGTACCATCTATAGCTACTAAGACATTCTTTGTACTGAGCACAGTACATAACACCTTTCCCCTGATAGTAGATCTCAGGAAAAAACAGATTTAGTTCACAAAACTCTGTCATCCAAGACACTACGAAAGTGTAACCTTACACAATTGATGGCATTTGTGATTTTTTAACCAGCTAGAGTGGTTCCTTTAAAAGTTAATATTTATCTTGCCATAATATTTACCTTCACAGGGTAAGTACTGCTATTTTCCCATGGCTGCAATGAAGAATGTGGTAAAATAAACTCACCTCTGTCAGATAAATGTCAGATGTTTAATGAAAACCACCGGATGAGCATCCCAGGTTTACTTTAAATTTGCCGAGGGTCTCGTCTTCAAGTAAAATTTAACACACACATATAAATTTCCAAATAGGAGTCTCTGTTCAAAACTGGAGGTTACAAGAAATGAATTCTTGGACTACATATGACTTAGGGAAAAGATATCTGGGCTGGGGATACAGAGACTGAGTTCTATGCACTGTTCTGATTCTGGTAAGATAGCTGAGACAAGAGTTAATTCAAACTCTTATAGCTAAAAGCTGAAATCAGAGGTTTATGGTCAGTAACAGACCTTATTGTGTACATATATTAGTACAGAATCTCAGAATAGACTAGGATCTTAAGACCACTATCTATCTGGCTATCTACAGGCCTATCTATCTATCTATCTATCTATCTATCTATCTATCTATCTATCTATCATCTATCATGAGTCAATCTACCCATCATCTATCTATTTATCTATCTACCTATATCTGTATATTTATAGATCTATTAAAATGTATATGTGTGCATTTTGTATGGATGCTGAGTATTCAAAATCAGGTATTCATGTTTGAGTCCTACATGATCTACCTATTGAGCCATATTCCCAGTTCTAATATATTATCTTTATGATGTACAGTGTGATGACTTGATATGTATTTACATATAGCCTCTCATATTAATCATTCCCTTTATGGTAAAAAATATTTAAAATCTACTCATTCTGAAATGCACCAATATTTAGTATAGTTCTTGTTCTCTGTAATATATAATTAAAGCTTAATCCTTCTTTTACAACTAAAATTTTGTACCCTTTCATTATTTTTTCTCATGTCTTCATTCTCCTTTCTCAGTCTCTGATGAGCACCTGTTTCAGTCTCTACTTTTATGTTTGACTTTACTAATTTCCATATGTAAGTAAAGATATAACCTTCCTGACTTATATCTATCATGTTTTCTTCATCTACTTATCTAACTGTAGGCATCCAGGTTATTTACTACTCATGACTACAATAAATTATGTTATAACAAACTTGGAAATGTAGGTATGTCTTTGACACACTGAACTTCTTTCAAATATACACCCAGCGTGTAATGTATGATAAACCTAATTTTTGATTTCTTCTTTTATTCTCATATAAAGTGACTTTGGGATTTTAAGAGATTACATACAATGCTGATTTATTTGAGCAAAATGGAACTGCTAACAACACACATTCCGCCGGGAGTTGGTGGTGCACGCCTTTAATCCCAGCACTCGGGAGGCAGAGGTAGGCGGATCTCTGTGAGTTCGAGGCCAGGCTGGACTGACAGCCTTCAAAACAATACAGAGAAACTCTGTCTCGTAAAAACAAAAACACACAAAAAAAACAACAACAACAATAAAAAACCAAACCAACACACATTCCTCCAATTCAAGGCAAATTATAGCTTTTATACCTTTTCACTTATGTGTGTGATCAGATGTTTGTTTCACCATGGATTTATAGTTTTAAAAAGATTAGTATCTATAAGAAGAGTCAATAGTGGGATGATTTTCCTCTCTGTGAGAGTGGGTAGGGGTGGGGTGAGGGTATGATCAAGGCCTGCCACTGAGGGCGTAGCGAGAAGATAGCCACCCACAAGTCAGAAAGTGAAGTATTACTAGAAAAAGAATTGACCAAAACCTTGATCTTGGGCTTTTCATCTGCAAGTATGTGACATAATATATTTCTCTTGTCTGTCTTATTTTGTTATCGCATCCTAAGCTGACTAAAATTAAGGCAGTAAAACTGAACCACACGATGGAAAAAGGTTTCTCTGTCAACCACTTTCTAGACATATTCTTTCTTTATAGTAATCAATTTAATATAAAGAACTGGAGTAAAAGCAGAATGTAGCAGGTACCCATCAATAATCACTTCTGTCTCTGTATGAGGCATTTTATGCTGTTGTGCTAAGCACTAGGCTATCAGGACTTGGCTCTTGGAGCACAAACTCTGCAGATAAGAATAGCTTCACATGAAACTATGACGCTCACCCTCCCCACACATCTGTGAGGCTAACCTCTGCGAACGGTACTATGTATTCAGCAGCATAGACATGGCATGAGTGCAGACTAGAAAGGCAAAGAGCCAGAACCACAAAGTGTCCAGAGACAGGTGGCAAATATCATTATCATTTTAGTGAGGAGAAAAAGTGAACTGCGGAAAGGTCAGATGTCTTGTTCAAAGTGACACAGAATGGAGTGGAGCCTGAAATTATTAACTTCTGTTTTCTAATCTAGTGGACTTAAGGTCATAGAATCCAACTAGGAAGGTCAAGATATCAGTTTTATGTCATGAGGCATCATTGCCTCTGCTCTTTTGTCACCTCACCTGGGAGCCACTTGATGACTTCAGCCTCAGCAGCTGTCCCCATCCCGGGAAACAGAAATCTGAAACTGGACACTCTATTAAAAACTAGTGCTGTGACTGACTATAAAATTCAGACCCCCACCATTCTAGGATATGCAGTACTTTTTGCCAAAGCTTTGTTTTCTTAGGTAGCCTGGTGATTTCTTCAGAATAGTGAAGGGCTTCTGGTGGCCTGGCACCTGGAAACTTGTTCCGGGACTAAATATTAAAGTAACTCCCCAGGGTCAACAAAGCACACGCAGTACATATTGGTTACTTTACTCTACACTGAGCCTATAGTTTCTGTATTAATGTGCTGTGCCGCACTATATTTGAGCAAGAGAATTGACAAGAGAAAGATGGTGTCTCATGAAAAGCTGTGCAGTGACTAAGTACCTCTCATTTATGTTTGCTTCCACAGTGTTTCTGCTATTGATCAAGACTTCCTTCAGATCCTTCATTTGGCTCATGGACCACACCTTTGCCTCTGTCATGCTCACACTCTTTCTTCTTTCACTCTGTTCTTCATCCATCAGATGTAGAGTGGATTCTGAAACATAAGTCTCTATGAAAATTACAAAATGACATGAGAACAACAAAACTCATTTTCTGATACAGGAATGTCTTGTAATTTTGCTACTAAGGTATATTAGATAGTATTTATGTATGACAGGATATGCATAAATAATATGGTTTAGCAGATAAAAGTGCTTGATGGCCAGGCTTCAGTCCCAGGGACTTACATAGTAAAAAGAACTATCCCCTGTCAATTGACCTCTACACATGCCCTGTGGCCCATCCCCACTAATCCCACAATAATACTAAGTAAAATTTAAGAAATTATATAACAAATTTTAAACACTTGTGGTGGAGTTCTTTTTAAACCTTCAGTTCTTTCTTCTTGGAAATAGTGAGAAACTATATTTTCTGTGATAAAACAAGTAAGCAATATTTGCTCTGACTCATATATGTAGTTATTCTTTTTCTCCTATTGGAAAACATCTACATATTTTGATGAAATATGTTGCCTCTCTACTCCAGGGTTTTAATTCTCAAATTCTCCATGAGGTGATGCCTAGAAGTTAATTGAGCTTTTCCCAATATTACTTATTACCCCTCTGAAGCCAAATGTATGCCCTATTGTTTAATTCACTTCTGATACTATCTGAAGTTAGAGTATGCTGTGCAGGTGAAGGGGTTGACCTCACAGGACTTTTCCCACTTCAGATGATAGCTGTTCAGGAGTCTGGAAACCACCTATACTTCTTCCCAGATGACTAAAGGTTTTCTGGACCCATGATCACTTTTCATGTGTGATCATTCACTCATAGAACTTCCACAGCTCACAAAGTGCTATACTTATAATTATGAATTTATAATTAAAGCTAAAGCAGGAACTCCATGTAGAAGAGATGTGTTTTGCAAGATATGAGGCAAAAAGAGAATGCAGAGCTTCCGTGGTTGTGGTTCAAGCGCTCTTATGGAGCTCCTTTGTTTATTTAATTAGTTAGGTTGTTAGGAACAGGGTATCATGTGTTCCTGGCTGGCATCTGAAGCTAAGAATGACCTCGAACTTCTGATCTTCCTGTCTTAATCTCTGTTGGTTACTGGTGGATGATCTTAGTCCTTCTTTCCCCAGAAGGGTCAGGTGGTTAAACCTATGCAGGAAATCAGTTCAATAACACAGAGACACTTCTATCACTCAGGATGTTATATGTATTTTTTTGAACTCTTGCATCAAGAACCTGGATTAACAACATATTTAAATGTATTGTTAAACCACACTACCAGTTGCTTTTCTTTATATATATTTACTTCAGTCATTGAGAGGTCATTTTTTCCAATCTATTAACATGACATGCCCGATGACACACAAGTTAAGGAGGTTTGTAGTTACAAGACTGGACACTAGAAAAGTTTGGTTTGGGCTACAGATGTTTTTTTAAACCTAATCAAATTGTTTTTTCTTACAGCTAAGAAGCCACATGGCATCACCACAGGTGTGGTTTTGTAAAAAGGTGATCTATCAACTGAGTTTGGAACAATTCAGCGTTAAGGGGTCAAGGATAAAAAGTGGAGACATGTCGGAGATACACAGGAGTGACTAGTATATAAAATCAACACTTGGGAAACCCAGATCCTCTACAGTTCAGGAGAAAAGAATGTTTTGAGAAGGTCTTCAAACGCTGATTTAAAGGTAGGTAGAAACCAATGAATAGCAGACTTTTCCATCTGGTGGGAGAATGTGAATGTCCCTGGTAACAACGACAGAAGTTCAGAGGGGAGTGCCGAGTATAGTGACCTCAAGAAAGACAGAGGGAAACTAGAGACACACACAGTTGTTTCAGTAAATTTTTCTCACACAGAAGTAGCTGTTAGAAAAAGTGAAACAGAGAAAGTGTTTTAGGCTAAGAATTGTTTTTAAGATGGGAGAAATATTAGCAGATATATATTTTAGGAATTGCCTAGTAGAAGAGAAAGCAAGTGGCTGCCGAAGATGATAGACAGAATCAGCCAGCACTGCCAGAGCAGGAAAGAGCATGTGCAGACTCATATACAAATGGAAATCAGCTAGGAGCAAAGGTGTGTTGAAATGTGGGTTTGCAAGTGTGACTGCTTTTACTCTTTTGTGATGATAGACTTAGTGTCATCAGAGTGAGAAGAGTAAAGGAGGCCTGGAGTTTCCAGACAGAAAGAGAACATATGTAGTAGTCTTCTGCACAAATGGAAGAGTGAATGAACTAGGGGAGTACAATCATAATATATGTAATAGCATATATAGTCTTATAGCATGTGATGTGATATGCGGTAAATATATAATGCAATGTAATGTATAGAATAAGCTTGCCTGGCACTATTAACCCACCACTGGTAATTCATGAATCAGTAGTGAGACCCTTTAAGGTTGTGCATTTTGGCCTAGCCACATGAGTACTTGGGTATAGTAGAGAGAGAGCTGACTTTCACCAGGATTGTTAGGGGATCATAGCAAAGAGACTGCATGGTTTCAGAAGTACCAGGAGGGGATTTAAAGTGGGCAAAGAGAATATTAGAGGTGATGGTCAATGCAATGTTGCTGAATAATCAGGACTAGAAGTCCTTTTGTGGTTGAAGTACTAATAGGAGTGAACTAGAGGGACCAGAAGCAGCCAGATGAGGGAAGTGTGGACCTCGGATCAGAGAGGAATTTTATAGGGATGGGACCACAGAGAGATTTCTAGGTTAGTATGAAGGACAATTATTGAAACTCCAAAACACTAAGAGATCAATGAATTTGAAAGATAATTTGCTTAAGAACCCAAAAGACATGCAGGATAAGTAACAGGGTGGGTGTGATCTATGAATGACAAGGCTTGGAAACAAGGGGAAACAAGTTGTCCAGGGACTTGGGAGAAAGTCATGGGATGACAGCTGTAATAAAAAAAGGCATGACACTAATGTCTCATGAGATATAAGATGAAAAATTATAAAAGATGTTTAGATTTATTCATGTTTAAAATTGTAGGTGTATGGATGTTTTGCTTGCATGTATGTATGTGCACCACATGCATGCAGTGCCCACAGAGGCCAGAAGAGGGCGATGAAATCCCCCTGGAACTGGAGTTATAAACACAAGTTAGCTGCCTTCTCAGGGCTGGAGATCCAAACTGAAGTCCGGAAGAGCAGTCAATTCTCTCAACTGCTGAGCCATCACTCTAGCCCCCAGATACATTTTGGTTTTCTGGAAACACTAATAGAATTATTTTAAAGCAAGCAACAAGGGAATGCATGAAGATCACATAGGGGTGTGTGTGTGTATGTGTGTGTGTGTGAGAGAGAGAGAGAGAGAGAGAGAAGTAGTAGTAGTAGTAGTAGGGGGAGGAGGGGGAGGAGGAAGAAGAGGAGGCCAGGGGGAGGAGGGGGAGGAGGATGAGAAGGGGGAGGGAAAGGAGGAGAACTGTGGGCAAGTAAACAAAGATGGCACTTGAGAGGGCAGCTATAAGAACCCCCAAAGAGCAGGATCGTAGCTAGAGGGAGAATGGGAAGAGAAAGCTCAGGGAACAGGTTCTGATCAGCAAATGGCTTTTCTAGTGAGTGTCCTGTAGCACTGCAGTAAAAAGGCCGGCAGTAGCTATGCAGTTACGAGGCTATCATCCAAAAAATTGGCTATTTTATTTACTATTTTGTCTATGTTCATATTACAAATGTAAGACAATATCCTTGGGACATTTTCTTTTTACACAATCTGGTTGAAATGGGCCGTGGAAATGCTGTTTATTTAGCAAAGATTTTGGCTGTGCAAATGATCTTTAACTACTTAATTGGCTTCGATAGATCAAAAGTAGGGAAAGCAATATGCACGCTGGGCTGGGATTTTATAGGTGTATATATTTTTGGGAGGTGTTACCAGGGTAAAAAACTAAAGCTTGTGGATTATTTATTATTACCAAGGCAAGAAATGGGAATTGTGAAGGAGTAATGGTCTTCTAAACCCAGGGGAGTTTCCTGAGTTGCTGAAAGTAGTTTACAAATGTCTGGAACAAAAGAAAAGGCTAGTTTTGTAAATTGTGGGTATTTGTTTATTTTTCTTAATTTCCTTTGTGTAATAAAACAGCTTTCATTTTGTTAGCCAGTATTTAAAGTTTTAGCTTTCTTCCAATTGATATACCGCAGGCAATACATTATTCACAGTGCCACTAAAAACAAACCATTTTTAAAGCAATAATTACCAAAGACCACAATTACAGTCAACATTAAAACAGATAATGCTGGCCTACAACTCTGTGCCTGCCTCCGCTACAACCAAAATGCCAATTGGTGTTTATTGTTGGCTCCAATATGCTAAGAACCTTGAAGGAGCAATGCAAGAATATTCTAGAATAATCCATCTTGTCAATTCATCCCTTCCCATCTACTATATCCCTGGCTTCTGACAGACTTATCCATGCTTTTTTTAATCTACTAAGCTGACTTCAATGTGGCAGTCTTCCATCTTCTTCTGTCTAGAACACATCTAACTCAGTTTTCCTAAGTTCATGTCTCTCTCACAATGCTTTCCTACTATTTACATTCTTTATTTTGTTAGATGTCCCAAGGTGTGTGTGAAAGTGAAATTGGTGTGACTTTCCGGAGCATTACCTTAGATCTTGGGTGGCACTGGTAGCTCTGAATTCTGCCACTGCACGTGGAGCTCTGTGGCAGATCCCAACTCTAATATCCTTTACTTACCAGTCTAAAACAAAGACAGCTCTGTTTTTTTTTTCATTGTTTTTCAGTGCTTTTTCACCGAGGGTACTGTTCTTTGACTTTCATCTGTTTGATGGTTATCTCTCTGGCTCATCTTATTCTTCTTTATAGCCATCTGTTATGAGTATCAATACATAGCCATAAAATGCTATTCTTAACATCCAAGAGGTGAAAAGGTATGTATCCATTTGGATATGTTTATAGTGAAATACTATGGCACCAGTAGTACCCTAAAGAATGTATAAGACCCTTGTAAAAGAGAATTATGAAATTGTACATAGCACCAGGTTTCACATTCTTTTTCTTAAGGAAAATGAGGAAGTGCCATATTAGAAAGGGCTTGTGACCCCTTGGGATCAGTTTCCTTGGGTAAACTGAACTCCAGTGCTAATCTCATGCTTTCAGTGGGAATGGTGGCAATCTTAGGAAGAATTTTTTTTACAAAGTAAGGAATGTAGGATGTATTCAGTACATTACCTGGTTATTACAGAGAGGACATAATAGTGTAGGAGTTACTGCCATTACTGCAAGATAATGGAAGTTTTAGATCAAATAAGAACCATATCAAAACTATTTTTAAAGACATTTAATTTTGTTTTGTGTTTATGAGAACTTTACTTACATGAATATATGTGCATTGCATGTTTGCCTGGTGCTTCAAAGGCCAGAATAGGGTGTTAGGTACTCTAGAATTACATAGTGACTGTTGTGAGCTGTGATGTGAGTACTAGGAATTGAACCTAGTTGCTATGCAAGAGTTCCAAGTGGTCTTAGTTGGTGAACCATCTCTCCAGCCTAAATCAAAACTACTTTTGAGGTTAGCTCTAATAGTTCACTTCAGAAGAAAGTTGACAAGGAAACTAATTACAAAACTTAACCTGTGGTAGTTTTGAAAAACAACTTAGGAGACATTGTAATGGAAAATTTCAAATAAATAAGATGCTCACGGTTATTGCAATTGATGGAGTCACTTTGAATCACCCTTTCAAGCAAATGGTCAGGGACTGGGATGACTCATCTTGGCTATCATGTGGACACACAGATTGGCTTGTGGACAGGTCAGTTGAGCATTTGCTTGCTTGCTAATTGATATGGAATGACACAGTCCACTGTGGGTAGTATTATCTCTAGGCAGGTGGACCTAGGCTACATAAAAAAGCTAGCTGAATGTGAATCTGAAAGCAAATCATTAAACAGCTCTCTTCCATGGTGCCTGTCCTGACTTCCCTTTACCTACAGGATAAAAGACATCCTTTCCTCCCCCAAGATGATTTTGGTCCACGTTTTATCATAGTAACAGAAGTCAACCAGGACAGTACCTTACCATCCTTAAGCTCACTGACCACAGGAGAATCTTTACCTGGTAACTAATTGTCGCTCAATCTCTTCAGGTTGTTATTATGTCATCTCTTCTCACTGGGGATACTACAGATGTATAACACTTTACTCTTTCAAGTGTTGTTCGCATCTTCATGTTCCTCGACTGTCATTGAACTTAGAGTATTTCTTTATAGACCAATAACAAATATGAACCTTGTAGCAAATTACATTGACTATGTCCAACCCTCTCTCTACTTTATCCTCTTCGATAATTCATCTTTTTTATGAAAAATGCACAACTAAAGAAAATCATGTTTATAATTAATAATGTCTATTTCTGGAGTGATTTTTCTATTTATAAACAGACTACAGTGTTAAAACATGGCTCATTGGGTAAAGGTACTTACTACCAAGCTGATGATGTGAATTTCATCCCTGGGATCCACAGGGTGGGATGAGAGAACTGAGTCCTAAGTTTTCCTTGGTCTCCATACATAAACAGTGGTGTGTAGACTTCCCATCTTCACTAGAAAAGTTAAATGAATTTTAATAAAAGAAAAAAACAAATGTCTGGTACCCTCTGAGGCTAAAAGAGGGCTTTGGATCCTATGAAACTGGAATTACAGGCAGTTGTGAGCCACAATTTGGGTT